AGCTGGGTAAGGTAGTGGGTGAGGGCATATCGCAGCGGCTCGAATGTCGCCCGCTCCTCAGGCATCACCCGCATGCAGAAATCCCACTCGGCCTGCAGAGACGTTGTGAGTGCCGTGTGGGCTGCCTGCGGGTACTTAGCCGCTGCGTCCGCCATCCGATTGACACACCGCTGCCACTCCTGCACCCTCTCGGTGGCGTAGGCCCGCTTGCCCTCCGCGGTCCCCACAAATCCCCCCATATATCGAGCACCATTCACAATCTCCACGTCGGTATCGCCAAACACCTCCCGCGCCCGCTCCTCGCAACCCGCCCGCACCACCAGCTTGGTCTTCTTGCCGTTGGGGTGGTAGCCCCTTAGTGGCCCTCTCCGCTGCAGCTCATCCCACCACTCGCGCACCGGCTGGAGGTCTCCCACCTTGGCGGAGTCGTCGGCAAACCATGCCTGAGGGCCCTCCTCTGCTGGCCGCTTCATCTCCCACACGAGCGAAAGGGTGGCCACAGAGTAGAAGAGGGAGGCCAAGGGATCGCCTTGCGTGGTCCCTTCTCGGCTCCACAGCGGCGCGGATTGGTCGCGCATGTAGAGGGCCGCATGGCCGCGATAGGTGTTGAACAAGAAGCGTGAGCACCGCGGCCACAAAATGCGGACGTTCCACAGGGCGGCAGAGCGACTCATCTCGTTGAAGGCGTTCGTGGCATCCACCAGGATCGCGCACTCAACGCCACCCGAGTCGAACTCGCCGGATACCGCATGAATGGCGCCCTCCACGCCCCCCTTGAGCCCGGCACAGAGCTGGTCCGCACCGCACACAATCTCCGCATCCACCCCGACTGCCTTGGCCATCGCCTTGCCCATGATGCGCATCAAGACCTCCCGATCCCGATGGGCCGCACGCCCGGTTGCTTGTCCAGACCAATAAGCCGACATGCACGCAGGGCCTGCAGCCGCTTCCAGGGCACGGCCTCGTTGGCGATGTGAGAGGCCATGGCCGCTAACTCACTGTGCAGCTCCGCACTTGCCGCGCCGCCCTTGAGAAGCAGTTGCTTCCACACCGATGACTCGCCACCAACAGGTCCCGCGCCTCCCTTCGTTGCCCGTGCCGCCCGCTCGATGTGGTTGGCGGTGAGCTCGATCTGGGTGAGGGGAGGGAGGGGCCGGTTGAGGAAGCAGGACGGGTCAGGGTCACTCTGGGCGGGGTGCTTCGTCTCGAGGACCTCCCGAACGGTGCGGCCCGCAGGGTCGGCCTCAGCCAGGTCGTTGGGGTCCAGTGTGCCTCCCCCTCCCCGCTCGGTCAGGAACCGGACGGCCTGCTTGACCTTGTCCTTGTCCAGACCAATAAGCCGACATGCACGCAGGGCCTGCAGCCGCTCCCAGGGCACGTCCTCGTTGGCGATGTGGGAGGCCATGGCCGCTAACTCACTGCGCAGCTCCGCACTTGCCGCGCCGCCCTTGAGAAGGAGTTGCTTCCACACCGATGACTCGCCACCAACAGGTCCCGCGCCTCCCTTCGTTGCCCGTGCCGCCCGCTCGATGTGGTTGGCGGTGAGCTCGACCTGGGTGAGGGGAGGGAGGGGCCGGTCGAGGAAGCAGGACGGGTCAGGGTCGCTCTGGGCGAGGTGCTTCGACTCGAGGACCTCCCGAACGGTGCGGCCCGCAGGGTCGGCCTCAGCCAGGTCGTTGGGGTCCAGTGTGCCTCCCCCTCCCCACTCGGTCAGGAACCGGACGGCCTGCTTGACCTTGTCCTTGTCGACCAGGCGACGGAATTGGCGCAGCGTGGCCTCGTTGGCGTCGTCCTTGCCGACAGGCCTGGTGGCCAGGAGGGCGTTGTTCCGCTCAGCCTCCTGCACGAGCTGCTCGAAGTCACCCTTCTCCCATTGGTCCATCCGCCGCTCCACCGTCTTGGCGATGTCCTTGCTGCCAGTGACGTCTGGCGCCCGATAGAGAATCGTGCACGCGCAGATGAGGATGCGCTCACTCGCCAGCTGCTCCTCACGCCAGCGACGAGCCTCGGTGGCGAGCAGTTGGGCCATCCGCTTCGTCGAAGCACCCGGTGGATCCCAAAGGCGACCTCGCAGCGGGCCGAGGCGGGCGTGCCACCGCTGCCAGTCGGTGTCCATGAGGCCGCTCTGTTGATTGAAGTCGGTGGCTCCGAAGGCCTCCTGCATCTTCTCCTGGACGAATGAAGACGTCGGAGGGCCACCAGGGGGAGCGAGGGGTATGCCAGGAGGCGGGCGGTGGGGAGGCTCGGCGCCACTGCAGAGGCAAGAATGGCAGAGGCCCTTGCTGGAGGACGCCGGGCGAGTGTGGCAGCTGGCACACTGGGGAGGGACATACGACGCGGATCCGCCTCGTAACGAAGACTCATCCGAGTGGAAGCCACGAGGATGAATAGAGGGGGAGTTCGAATCCTCGGCGGTGGAGTTATCGGCCTCGGGCTCTCGATTCTCGCATATGCCTAGGTCACAGGAATGGCAGTTGGTGCACTTCTTGCCTTTCTCGAAACAGGGGCAGCCCAGCACCTTCCCCTTCCTCTTGCATCTCGATCCATTGGTCTTGTTCCGGCGTTCGTTGGCGATAGGGGAAGGAGATGAAGGAGGTGGAGGAGAAGAGGAGGAAGGAATGAGAAGGAGAGGGACAAAGATGTGGGAGACACGTAATGGATAGGATGAAAGTCGGAGAGGCATAGAACATTCGGGACGACACACAATGACATGGCTGGACGCATTAACAAGGATGAGGCAAAAGCGAATTCCGCTCAAGCCTGTACGGACCGTTGAACCTCCTTGCGAAGGGAGTGAGTCGCGCAAGGGCGAACGAACTGTGTGTCCGCGCAGAGAGCGGGGCCTCCATTTGGAGTGCCCGCTTGAAAGCGTGGCGCCATGCATCGTACGACAGCGCCCGGCCCGCCCATTATGGGCCGTCAGTTGCCTGGAAGAGGAAGTTGTCGTCTTTCTGTGAAATTCGGAGAAGAAGTGACGCATGTTGGCAAGAGTGAGGAAGAAGGTAGGGGGATGATCTGGCCTTTGTCGGTGTCGGTGGGAGCGTCCTCTTGCTTGGCGATGAAGACCGAAAATCGCCCAGCATTATCCCGGAAGTCCCGGCGCCGCAGAAATTGTACCCTCCTGGCCTGCTGCAAGGAACTGCCGCAAGGCAATGGCAATGTTGCGGATAGCGTCGGGCGAACGCTTTTCTGCCCAGTGGCTGAGCAATGTAGGCAGCTCGTCCGCCGGCAAGGGGGAACTGAGGCCCTCGGGGCCGTTGCACTGCTTTCGAGGCGCAGTCAAGAGGGGGAAGCCCCTCGGGTACCAACTTGAGGGTGGACCAGGGGTGGACCCGTATCGCTGAAGCGTCGACTGCGCCCAAGCCGACGCGATGAAGGAGCGGATCGGCGCGGCCAGAGCTGGGACCGGCACTCTCGAAGAAGCGGTAAGGGAGAGAATGCCGAGGAAGTTGTCTGCGAGCGCACGACCCCCGAGTCTCGGCACGTGGAACAGCGGTGACCTGGTGAAACAACAGGAACGCTGAAAAGGCACGCGACACAAAGGAACGGAGCAAAGAAGGAAGAGACATAAGCTGAACGGTCGGCAGGGAAGTTCGGCCCGAACATTCATTAGCACAGGAATCGGTGGCGGGTAGATATCGATCGAGGATGCGTGCGCCTCGAGGCCGGTGCCTGCGTGGCTGGAGTTCGTGCCGGGTGGCAGGGGTAAGGGGCAAGGGGTAAGGATGCGTTTGTCAGAATGCAGCCAGACAAAGTGCGCTCAGCAATGCCGAATGCCGGGTTGACGTCTCGTGACAGCCGGACAGCTCGATCGTTGTGGGATTCAGGGGTGTCTCTTGCAATGAGCTGCACGCTGTGAAGCTTCAAGATGCGGAAGAGCCCGAGGAGGAGCCGCATGGTGCCCCGAAACGCGGAGCGACACATGTTGAGACAGATCTTGGCGGCGGGGCTGACCGTCCGCACGAGCAGGCTTCTGCCAGCCCACTGATTGGCCCAGTGCCAGGCCGCGAGCAAGACCGAGGCGAGTGGCCGCCAGTTGATGGAGGGCGGTTGAGCGGAGAGCGCCCAGATGTCCGGGACCGCTTGAGCTTCCCAGATGGTTCTGCAGCCGCTATCGGAGGCATCGGTGAACACCACCTAAACATCGCGGGGCGAGCTGGCGATGGCGGGGTCCAAGGAGGGGAGGGAGGACGGGATGAGTGGGAGGGGATTGTATCTGGGCCCCTAGGAAGAGAGTCCCATCGGGGCCCTCCCGTAGCGCCAGCGACTATAGCAAATCGTGCCACACGAAGTCGACTCGGGGAAGAGACACGCGTGTAGGGTCCGTAGAGCCTTCTCGAGGGGAACGCCAGGCAACCCGCGACTGATGGAAGGATGCGAACGACCATGCACGGCGAAGGCCGCGATGTGACAGCAAGGGCCGATGACCGTGACGAGGGGCTCCTTCAGTAGGCCATCAGTGACGGAGAGGATGAGGCTGATGGTGTCGATGACAAAGCCGAGAAAACCCACACGACACGGAAGGAGCAGAAATGGGCAGGACGAGGGGCAGGGATGGCAGAAAGCCCGACAAAGAGACAAAGAAGGGGCCCTGATGGCGGAATGCCCGACAAAGAAGAAGCAGGCGGAATGCCGGACACGAAAGAGGCAGGGATGGCTCAATGCCGAACACGACAGGGGCACACGACAGGGGCAGAGATGGCGGGATGCCGGACACGACAGGGGGCACACGACAGGGGCAGAGATGGCGGGATGCCGGACACGACAAGGGGAGAGACGGCGGGATGCCGGACACGACATGGGCATCCCGCCGGACACGACATGGGCAGAGGATGGCTGAATGCCCGACCATGAAGCGGCAGAGAAGGCAGAACGTTCAAAGAACGGCAGGGATGACGGAATGCCCGACAAAGAAGCGGCAGGGATGGCAGAACGTTCAAAGAAGCGGCAGGGATGACGGAATGCCCGACAAAGAAGCGGCAGAGATGGCAGAACGCCCGACCAAGAAGGGATGGCAGAATGCCCGACAAGGAAGGGATGGCAGAATGCCCGACAAAGAAGCGATGGCAGAATGCCCGACAAAGAAGGGACGGCAGAGATGGCAGAACGCCCGACAAAGAAGGGACGGCAGAATGCCCGACAAAAAAGGGATGGCAGAATGCCGGACAAAGAAGCGGCAGAGATGGCAGAGTGCCCAACCAAAGAATCGGCAGGGATGGCGGGATGCCCGACAACGAGAGGGGCAGAGAAGGGAGAATGCCCAAAAGGGATGGGCGGAGCAAGAAAAGGTGGGCATAGGCATGGGGCAGGGCAAAGAGCCCGACATGGGGCCGATATGGGATGGGTGGCAAGCGCTAAGCCCAGACCAGAACGACAGAACGAGAACGGCCCTGCGCGAAATGAGTCGCCGACAAGCAGGTCCACCAACAAAGCCACAGCCAGGACAGCCACGTGAGCCCCGCAAGAGCGCCACAGACAGGACCTAAGACGACACGCCACTGAGCAACCGCACTACGTGCTTGCCTCCCGAGAGGGAAAACGAAGGGCACAGAGCGAGCCACTGAACACCATCATCACCATGGTCTTCAGCCTAGCAAAGAGCGATGACCGAGCCACAGCAGCACGATGGACTCCAGCCACAGCGAAAGCCACCGACAAGCCAGAAGGACCTGGAAGCGAAGCCGTCGGAACACCGCAACACCACAGCCGCAACAACAGCTCCTCCCCCAACAACCGACGAGCACACCATTTAACGTCAGCACCAGAAAGGCCGGGGCAAGAGGGACGAATCACCACGGTTCCCAAGGCCGAAGAGAAGGAAGCGGGAAGAGCAATCCGGATGAGAAGCGGTGGATAAGAAAAGAACGCACACGCGGTGCATAGAGGAGTGGGACAGAAGATGCCCCATCTCGCCGCGCCTCGGGACGCGTGACATCGCACTGGCGACGGCGGAAGGAAAGGAGGGAAGAAAGGATAAGAGAAAGGAGGGACGAAAGGAAGGAGGAGAGGGGAAGGAATGCGATGGACCGGATAGCAGATAGTATGCAGCGGATGGATCGGTGGGCCCGTTCGCGTACTGCGTTGCAGCGACCGACGGAGTGAGGATAGGCCGAACGGGCCGAATAGGCCGGAAGAGAGGTGACTGCACCAGCAGCGCCGCCTGGCCAAGCGATGTGGAGGTCGTTCCTGGCGGCAGGGGGAAGTTCGGCAGCCCCCTCTTGCCGGGGCGACGGGACGGGCAGGGAGGTCCCACAGATGGCAGCTGCCGCCTGTGGGCGTACGGGACAGAGGGGGGGAAGCAAACCGAGGAGGGATTCTCAGGCGGGGGAGAGGGGGGGAGGTCCGAGAGCCCCCTCCTGCTCAGGCGACGGGAGGGGCGGCCCCAGAGGTGGCAGCAGCTGCCACGCGGAGGCTCATGGGACAGAGGAGAGGAACGGAAACCGGGGAACAAGGCAGCCCGCCAGGGGGCCGAGAGAATGCAGCGTCACGAAGAAAGCAGTAAGGGAACGTGCATGGGACGGACAGACCAGTGTGGGGCGGCCTGTCACGCGTCGACGAGCGCAGTGCCTAAACCCCGGAGGAACGGATCGAGGGGAGCGTCTCACTCCGATCGCCCGGGTGAAACTCTCTGCCGCGGACTCCGGAGTCCGCCGCAGTCCGCGTCCCTTTCCGATCGCCTTCCGTTACGAGAATTCCCCTACCCTCGTAGCCGTTCGTCGACCCGCGTTCGCGGGGGTTCCATCAATGCGACACATGGATGATCAACTGACAGGCAATGCCTGCTGCATGTCGGCCGTCTGCAACACACCTCCGGACACGCAATGCACCCCTGCAGCCGACAATCACATCCTCGCATCCCC